AGGCTCTGATATGCACCATAGAGCAAGGATCAGCAAGAGACTAAATTTGCCACTGTCCGATCCCGACTGTCCGATCCCGACCTCAGTCCCAAAGCAATGGACACTGCGGACCTGCTCCTATTTTTCGACCAACTGTTTGACAGTGTTAATGATACCTCCTGGCAAACCTCTACACGCTGTAGTGACGAAAACGTCTAATCATCTCTCCTTTTGGACATCCGTAACTCCTATTCTACAATCCATGATCTATCTCGCCAAATCTACTTCTTCCACTGCCGTTTCGACTCCTAGAATCCCAACTTTCCCGTTTTTAGTTAACACACAGTGTGGGGTCTAATTGTGAGGAGGATTTGTCAGTCGGACGATTAAGCAGACTAAAACGGTTTGTACTAAAACATGAGACTGTCCAGCTTCCAGAGGTAGAAGGGGCAATTAAAATCACGAACGTACGAAAGGCATGAGCCAGTGATTTTGCAACAGATTACGTCGCTGGGGAATTTAAAAAAAAATGTGTCGATTTTCTTGTGACACCTGTTACCAGTATTTATTCTCCACTGAGCCATTACCGGAATATTTCAAGTCAAGGGAATATGAGAAATGCGCCCTTATTTACCCCGATTTTCTTTTCTCCTATAATATACATAAAACCACTAATTTTATTTTGGGAATATTACCTTCGGTATTTAATAAATATGAGTTGAAAAAAATCATTTTGGAGGAACTAAAAAATCAAAATTATCAGTTTCTTCTATGTGATGTGCATTCTACAAAAAAACATGACGAATTAATAAATATAATTATAAACATTGTAGTTTTCGACTACGTAAAGTTAATTAACAGAGTTTTAAATGGTACAGATTTAAGATTAATTGGTAGTAACGAATTATTTAAAAGGGCCCATGGCAAATATCAAGAAAGAATACCAAAAATAAAGATAAATTAGACCATTTTAAAATATACCAATTTATACTTATATTTATATTATATTTATTTATTTATTTACCTTTTTACACATATACATTTATATAAAATATAAAATATACCTATTTAGCTATTGAAAGTTGTTTCTTTTATTTTTCCTACTCCAAATCTACAATTTCATAATAAATTTAGAAGAAATCTTTTTAACTGACCTTCTCATTTTACACTAACTACATTTATAAAGTAAAATGTTTATTCAGGTAAAAAGGTTTCCTATAAATTTATTATGAAATCCTTATTTAAAAAGTATAAATTGTCTACACAATATTTTTAAATTTTGGCGCTAATTGTAGAACACTGAAAGTACAATTAGTATTCTGCATTTAATGTATAGACGCGCGTCACAAGTGGCGTTAGTACAAAAATTGAGTTTCCCATCTATAGTGTTGGTTATCTATGGGCGTACTGTAAACAATAACAATTCGTTTAGGAATTCTTCTTTTCCTTTATTTAGATTGGACTTGGCTGCCAATGCTGTTCGGCAACAGAAAATGTTGTTGGACCCCTATAGATGGCGTTGCAAATCGTTCTCCAAAATTTTCAAGAGTAAGTGCCATCCCCCTGGTTTTAACCTGGTCCCTTGTGAAATAATAAACCACAGGTTGCTTCCAAGATTTTTTAATGCCGTTAATGACAAGTACTAACGCATGATTCGCAGCTTGCAATTTCCTACCCAAATCGTTACCTAGATCTACAAAACCAACCACTTTGTCGCTGTACGCATCCAATGTGAGTTTCTCCGTGAGAGCAATTTCATCGAAAAACAAAAAAAATTCCTGTCAACCCTTTCCTTAAGTCTATTTAAAATTAAATCGTTAATGCCGGTTTCAAATGGAATTGATCTTAACATGGACTGAACAGTAAATTTTCTGGGCAAAGCAATAAAATTTTTCAAAAAGTTATATGCCCTGGGACCTTTCTTATACAATGCTAATGAAATAATTTTATCGGCAGTTGTTCATAAAGGCTTAAGTTTTTTTGTAATACATTTGTATTATGTTTTCCGCCAATTCGGAAGTTTCCGCCCAACTTTCCGCCGCATTCGACCCAATCATCGGACATTCTCTTTTAGAGTGTAACCTGGCACTTCGCCTGACTTCGCCTAAGTGTACGTTTACATAGGACGCGATGGAGCGATGAGCGTTGCTATGCTATGCGACGCGATGCGATGCGATGCGATGCGATGCGATGCGATGCTATAAATCGCTTGCGATATTTTTCAAGTGTTCACATAAAAAGCGATTTTTATTTAGTTGATCGCCTTCCTTCTACAAGATAGAACGCTTGCTTGCAATGGTTCTGACAAAAAAAATAATTTGTGCGGAAAGTTTGGCTTTAAAATATTTGGTTTTGAAAAACTTAAATTGCAAAAAGCGTCTGTGGATACATGAGATTAATCGTGAAAGATCAAGACACGGAGAAGACAATTTCACAACTTATTTCCGAAATTGATTTTGCACCCAGACAAATTTAAAGAATATTTCTTTAAGAATATAAATATAACTTGTTAAGAATTATTTAAATAAGTAATTGAATAATAAGTGGAGGATTTTTCAGAATATATTCAATTAAAATATATTATATATTATAATAAATAAAATATATTATATTATAATACATAAAATAATATTATAAAACTTAAAATATAAATTATAATACATTAAAATTCTCTAATTTGCTTCCAAAATTGATTGTGCATCCAAAAAAATTTTAAGTCCATTCGGGCGATGGCGCGATATCGAGCGATAAAATCAAACATGTTTGAAAACCAAACCATCGCTCGAGATAGCATCGCATCGCTCTTAGTAGCATCGCGTCGCATCGCACTCTATGTAAACGCTTTCATTGCAATGAACGTGTTTAAAATAATCGCATCGCATAGCATAGCAACGCTCATCGCTCCATCGCGTTCTATGTAAACGTACACTAAGTCTATCCGCCTCGCGCAGCCTGTTACCCTGAAGAGGTCGGACGTCACCTCGCTCGTTCAGGTGGATGGACTGCTCAGTTGAATCAGCCTGACTCGGGTTTGAATTCGCACGACTCAACTTCGAATTCGCCAAGTTCGAATCCGCCAATTTCGAACCCGCCAATTTCGAACCCGTCAAGTTCGCCAAACGCCTGTTAGAGCATTCAACATCCAATGAGACATTCGCCACGTCTCCTTGACCATCGCCGGTCTGACCACCGCCGGTCTAGCCTTCGCCGACCCGCCTGTTAGTGCTGATCAGCTCGCCATTCGCCAAGTCGGTTACTCGTCCGTGATTATGTGAGAACCAGTGTTGTTAAGTACTTAATTACAAGTAATTGAAAAAGTAATTGAATTACTTTTATTGTAATTGAGGCGGTAATTAATTACAAGATCCTCAATTGTAATTCATTTGTAATTCAATTACTCCTTTCGTTACAATAACAATTACATTTTACAAATACGTTTCAATTACATTGGACACAAAAGTAGTTATTTAATATTTTCAATACGTGGAAAGTTTAATTTCGATTGCAAATCCCTAAATAATTATTTAAAACTGAAACCAAAGCAAAGTAATTGTGAGTGTAATTGTAATTGCAAATGTAACTTTAATTGTAATTGTAATTACATTCGCAAATTTTGTAATTGTAATTGCAATAAATTACAATTTGCCAAAAGTAATTGTAATTGTAATTAATTACATATTATAAAGTAATTTTAACATCACTGGTGAGAACATTGAGTGAGTAGGGGAGAAATGCATGCTAGAGTTGATGCTGCTTTCAAAACCCCAAACAACGTCCGGCAGCTTCTCGATCCATCTCTCTCGCTCTCAATGGTCGCAGTTGACACCTCAACTACCGCCTGTATTGACGGGGCCAAAACAGCCAAATTGCCAAATCCGCAATTGAGAAATAACGCCACATATTTCTCAACGAAGCGCTACCTTCGAGGAAACTAATAAGTTCCTTCGATTACGCCAAACGCCATTTAAACGCCAGACACCGTTTGACAGCTGGATGACTGATGTCATCACGATGCTCCACAACAATCCAAATTTCGCCACCGCCGGAACATACAACCAGGCGCCTTTCGCCGTTTAGCGATAGAGTCGCCCTTGCTTGAATTAATAATGCGCCTGGACATCCAAACTCACTAACTCACTTTTTTATCGGAACCGTCAAAAAGTCGGGTCCTCGTAAGAGAGTTCGTCGAGATAAACCAAAAGGACCTGGAGTTGGAGTTCGGAGGAGGACTTCGAGTTCCATTGAATTCTCTAGCACGGAGATATGTTTTGGAACGCGAAGAGCACCGCAGTTGCAGCGGTGTCCGGATCTTCGCTTGTACCTTAAAAATCCAGGAGAGGACAACGTAGAGGTGTCGCGCCAGTTCGTACCCATATCCTCAATTTTTCAATCAGTGAGAGCATCTCTCTTGCGGCGCTGTCACGTATGTGTTACAAGTGGTATGGACATTTTGAAAACATGATGTAAAGTTACAATGTTAATCAGTTTGTATGGAAACACCTTTGACGACGCCTAGCGCCGCTAGGAGACGCCGGCGACCCCAAGTTCCTATGTTTAAAATGCTTGACTAACCACCCCCTACAATCCCCCGGAGTTAGTCCCCTGAATTTCCGGACACGCTGTATGTATAAGCGTTATAAGCAAGCGAGTTATTGTAAGTAATAAAAGTTGTCATTGTTTTCTACTACGTCGAATTATTCCCATTAAAGCAGTGTTGGTTCGTAAACCTAGACCCCCTAGCTTGGCTCGGAGCAAAGACTTGGACCCCCCAAACCTTTTAACGTAACAATATCGAAACTATACTATAGAGTTATGTGGTATAATGTATGACCAACTGTTTATCCAAATATAGTTAAAAGGGGCCACAGGATCAAAAAACGAAGTCAAAATTATGGTACTTTCCATTTGAAATAACGAAGTTAACTTCCCGTATAACAGGAAATCACACATGGTTTAAAATATTTTATAAAAAAATTAAAACTCACAACTTTGATTATTGATAATAGAGATGTATAATATACGTTAGTTCACATTCCATTGCTACGGTGTTTTAGTGTAATTCTTTGTATCGGTAAATTCGCAAACAAAAAAATGATTGCTTGTGCAATTAATGTCACTCCATTGGTATTCAATTGTTTTTTTATTCTTACTATAGGATGCATTGATCGCCATGCATTTTTGTGTTGAGTTGTTCGGTTGACCCGGTTTCCAATTGGTATATGAAAATAGTTCACCGGTGCTCAACCACATCCATGTGATATTTTTTCTAAGCGTCCGTGTTCCAGAAGTCCAGTAAAACTCGTCAGAAAAATGAAACTTCTTATCTAAATAAATTAAATAAATTAGGGTAAATAAAGATTTACAAAATAGCATTAATTATTAATTAAAAGTACATAAATGAAAGCATTTTATAAGAATGCTTATGATAGTTCATTCTATAAACGATATAATTAATATCTAATAATAACAAAGAAATACATTCGAAAGATAATAGAAATTGTATCTAATTGAATATTCTATCTATACAGTTATCATTTCATGTTTCACCAAGTAAGTTTTTTGTGAGATTTTAATAGCTATTTTTCACGGAGCAAATCCTTAACACATCCACAACCCAAACCTGAATTTCACGTATGCGCAAGCGCGTATACAGACGAATGCAGGATATGCTGACAATTTCAGGACACCGCGAATGACTTTTTTTTTAATTTACGAAAAACATGAACACTTGACGTTAAGTACAGGGGGTGAGCACTTATACTTGAATTAATCATCAAAACAATACAATAACATCAAAACAATACAATTTGCACTAGAAAACGATCGGTATCGATAACGTTTTCCTAAAGCTGGAGGGCGGAGGGGGAAGTTTGCGCTTGCTGATAAAATACACCGAATCTGTTTTTTGAGTTGAAATTCAGATCAGCTGACTACTTCGGCCAGGGTTGTATTCGCTCTTCGCATTTATTTCTAATGGCTCTATTTTGTTTATTATTATTTTTTTAGAAAAATCAAATCTGCGAATCGATCTTAAATTTTGCAAACTACCACCCCTAGAATTTAGTGCCATAAGTTCGATAACACCCTGTATTTCAGTAATTTGTAAAAACTGTTGAACATGGCATTCTTTATGATTACTAAATAGATTTTTGATAAAAGTAACTTAATCTGTTAAAAAGGTAGCAACGTGCTAAAAATGTTTCAAACTGTAGTTCACAAAACTCTCGGCACAAACCTAGTGGACACGGTTCTGAGAGTACTCTAATTATATAAAATTTCGGCTTATAGGTCTTACAGATTTTCTCCGGATTTCAGCCATTACTCTCGGAAAGTCTTCCACGAACACGTGATTTTTTATTCTGAACTTATCCTAAGCAGAATTTTTCATTCCGTGAACAGTTAAATTTAAAATGCGTACTTGAAGTTACTCCGAATGCGTTTAGGATGTGCTCCGCGAAAACAGCTACTAAATAGTAGAAACACGGAAATTAGTCAGTCATTCGGTGATTGTTACTATACAGGGTGTTCCACAATGACATGCTAATATATGAGGGGACCTGGACCTATTTTGAGGAAAACACTTTAAATGAACCTGTGTCCTAAACGTCTTAATTTTTGATATACAGGGTGTTAAAGTTCTAAGAAAAAAATCAATTTTCTGTAATAACTGTGATACTTTTGTAGATATCTTTATGAAATTTGGCACACGTCTTCAATTTAGAACAAATTTGATTTCTTGACTTTTTTCTGTACGACTCATCTTTTCGCTAGTCGCTGTACTAAAATTAAAAAATTATAAATTTTAGGTTTAGGACATAAGTTCATATTAAGTTTTTTTCTTAAATATTATCATATCATGTATGTAGTTTATTTAAGTTTTTATATTTTTTTATTCTTTTTTAATACTACTTACCTAATTCATAGAATTTTTTGCTCAAAAATTTATTTTCATCTTCTGATTCGATGTGGAGCAATTCCATATTGTTGGATTTGCAAAATTGATAACTTTCAAGAAAATCGACCTAACAAAAATAGAAAAAAAAAATAATTTCATCGATTGATTTAAATATTATTAATTATAGACCTTAAAAATATTCTGGAAATGGTAGCTTTTATTTCCGTTAGAGATGAGATTTAAATGTGGACGGTTTTGGTCCGTTAAAGTCCCGTCATCACCTAAAAAAATAATAGAATATTACTGCACAATCGTAAAAATTTCGCAATTCTTACCAATTGATCTTCGTACCAATTTCTTTGTTTTGTTCTTTGTACCTATAAAATGCGTGGAGATCTGATTAAAACAAAATAATGCAAAAATTGCACAAAAACAATATAATCTAAACCACAACATCTTAAAAGTTCCAAATCGCAACTGCAGGCTTAATAATACGCTCATATAAGATTTTAGCCTATTTATATATTACAAAATAGGATAAATTTTAAATTTTAAGTTATCACTTTTGATAAGAACAAATTCGCAGTTTTTTAAACTATTTGTAAATAATCTATACAGAGTGTGTCACGACGAGCTTAAACTATCTCTATATTGAAAACTACTTATCTGATTTTAATAAAATTTGGTATACATATGTTTTGCAATAAGACGAACATCTTAAAAATATTTGGACAGTGGTACCACATCCGGTTGTACCGGAAGTGTGCATCAACTTTGTTATTTCCAATGGATCACCCTGTATATTAATATATTTTCGAAATCTATGTAAAACTTCAGGATACTTTTGTCTAAAACACAAAAATATCAAATTTCTTCATTTTTTTTAATGGAACCACCCATTTTTTTCAATTATAATAAAATCATCGGTCAAAAATAAGGGAAGTTCTTGTTTATTTCCCTATACATAAACCTAATAGTTTTTAGATATTAAAGATATTAAAAATTTTACATAAAACTTACATTTCTGCCTAATTCTCAATTAAATAGGTTTTAAAAGTTGGCCATGTAAATTATTTTTGTTTAATTGATTATTAATTTTGGTACTTGTACGATATTACACCGTTAACGTGTAAAACCGAGTTATTTAAGAATAAGACAGAAAAGTAAGTTTTAAGTAAAATTTTTAATACCTTCAAAACTATTAGGTTTAGGTATAGGGAAGTAAACATGAACTTCCCTTATTTTTGACCGCTGATTTCATTGAAATTGAAAAAAATAGGTGGTTCCATTTAAAAAATGAAGAAATTTGGTTCCGGTACAACCGGAAGTGGTACCACTGTCAAAATATTTTTAAGAGGTTCGTCTTATTGCAAAACATATGCACCAAATTTTATTAAAATCGGATAAGTAGTTTTCAATATACAGATAGTTTAAGCTCGTCGTGACACACCCTGTATACACTGTTGGAAAGTAATTCACGCATAATAGGGAAAACGATGTTAATTTCTTAGCCGATTCTATCAAAAAGTAGCAGCAACTTTGTTATTTTAAATGAGACATCCTGTATATTTTTACATTTTTTGCTCCGCTATTGCATTCCGATTATTTTTGTATAACACTTCCCTATACCTATCTTAAGCGCTTTTCGAGAAATTCATTATATTATTTAATTTTTTATTCAAAACACAGCTTTATTAAATGTTGATTAATGCGGTAATTAGAGTAGCAGAAAGCTGAAATTTTGGGATTAGCTTACAGATGCCTTAGGTATTAGTTCACTCTAAACGATGTTTTTTTATCTACACAGGGTTGTTCAAAAATTGCCATTTTATCGCTAGATATACAAATGCTAATAAGTTCATTTTTTTAATGGGACACCCGGTATATTTTTAAATATTCAAAAAGATGGTATATCATGTTCCTATACCTAAATTATCAGGTTTCCGAAATAAAAGCAAATTTCTATAAAAATCTGATTAATTTAGCGAATTTGTATTAGGTAGCTGTGAAATCACGAAATGTCATCAATTTGACATTTAGTGGAATGACATTTAATGTACATTTAATTTATTTCTCTATCACCCCTAGAATTTAGTGCCATAAGTTCGAGAACACCCTGTATACACTTTGTAGTCTGGGAATATTGTTGATTTTCAAAATAAAACTCCTACTCAAACGAATTTTTCAGAGATGGTAGGAGGCGGGTGGGTGATCATAAAACCGAAGATATTTTTATTTTTTATTTTTTTACAAAAAAAGAGTTAAAAAATTGTTATAAGATTACATATCCTACAATTTTGCTTTTTGAACTTTCTTTGTAACTCACCCCCGTTCAGGGGGGGACACTTGCCTTAGGGTGTTTTCCAAAAAGTTTAATTCAAAAAAATTGTTCTAAAATTATTCTGTATACGATTAAAAAAACTTTCGTCGTCACGTAATTAAGGGTAGTTTTTAGGGGTTAATATTGGTTTCGAAAAGAAGAAAAGATCTGGAAACAGTCTATGCTTTTGCCTTAGAGTATGTGTCCCGTTATTTGAAGACTTTTTGTTATGAGACAAGAGTTCAAGCTGTTAAAACTTCAGAAATTATTTTATATTGACTAATTTATACATATTTGAATTTTCGTTTCTTTTTCTTGCTTTAATTTTATAAACTCTTGTTTATGAATCGAAATGGTGTAAGCCGTGCGTGGAAGAGATGCCGATACGAAAGTTAAATTAGAATAGGTAACAGAGACATTTTAAACCTTGAAGTAAGCTGGAGCCCAATTTTTCTGAAAAATGTAACAGTCGAAGTACCATTCAAGTACCATTCAAGTAGCATTCAAGGACCAGAAGGTCTCTAAGCGTTGTCCAGGATGGGCTAGCATGGTGTTGTAGCATGGTGTTGGAGTCGCGACCCGACTCAGAAAGATTAAAATTAAGAAGATTAAAAAAATTCTGAAACCAAAATATATTGTATAACTACAGTAATATCATTTTATTGATTTATTTTTTATCGGATCAAAAAGACAATCAGCCTCACGCATAAGCACGCATCCAGACAAGCGCAAACATTCTTTTAGTTTTCAGATATACATACTTTAGAGAAAATAATACCATGTATGTTAAAGCATAAAGAAGAAGGTAGGTAGATAATTACGAAAATTTTCGAATGTCTACGAAAGGGAATTTTTATTGCATGTCAGTTTTTTTTTTCATTTGGGAAATGATTTTTATTTCGTGGTTTTTTTTTCACGGTATACGAACCTATTTTTAGAATTAATTCATCAGCGCATTTTTGTTCGTAATCAGATGTGACACAGTTTTGCTTCTCTCGTAAGGTTTTAAGGTCGCAGAGTTGCGAAAAATAATAGGATAGGTCGTGGTTCGTGGTCGACTACAGAGTAGCCGGGGCTTATCGCGAAGCGCGCGATGGAATTTGCGCGATAAGCCTAGTATGCATATCCGCCTTACAGAGAATTACGGGCGAAAAAATATTTCGTAATTTTGAAAGCGAATCTTGATTTTCAATTGTAGTTTCGTTTTCGTGTTAAAGACGGGGTTAAAGGAAATGACCGCAAGAAGCAAGGGAAATGGAATCAACCGCAGAGGACGAGAATTTAGAAGATGGTACTTGACGAAATACTAAATAATAGCCCCAGATAAGTTCCCATTATCTTCGAGAATGGCGTCCCGCAGCATCAGCAGTCTAGCGATAGGAAAAATCGCTATCAGCTTCCAGGGAACAACAAAGTGGTTACAAATTACAAGTGTTTGTGTTGTGCGGGCGTGTTTCGCACTATGAAAGACGAGCCGCGTAGTGTCCGATTACGCGAAGGACAAGTCGCGAAATGTTTTGATTGTCGGATGTTTTATTTTTATTATGCAAGTTATACATTATAATACAGGGTGGCCCAGAACTCACGCCCCACTGGGAATGGCCTTATGAAACCCACAATGGAGATGCTAAAACTGCAGCTGAAAACATGAAAGTTTTTCTTTTGGTAAATAAAGAGGTTTAAAATCGAATAATCCCAATAGGAATTCAAAGCCACGAAAATGACGTGAATTAGCTATACACCAATTTGACAATATTAAAAGATTCTATTTTCTTTACACATTCAAGGTTAAGTAAAGCTGCCAAAATCAGCTGTGACTATTGATCAAAGATTTGTTTCCAAATTGTTCAAAAAATCGATCATTCAATTCGAACCACTTTTGAAGCAATAAAAAATTCTGAAGCAACAAAAAATATCTTTGACGACGCCTACCACCGCTAGGAGACGCCGGCGACCCCAAGTTCCTATATTCAAAATGCTTGACTACTCACCCGCTACAACCCTTCGGAGTTTGTCCCCTGAATTTCCGGACACTCGGTATACAGGGTGAGGCACATAAAATGTTACAGATCACAATATGCAATTGATGCACAAGATGCAATAACAGTCAAACTATATATAAAAATATATAAGCATAATGCCTGATTGCACGATCTTCACTTAAATCTCCAGCTTAATCAACTTGCACTTAACTCCAAGTTTCACTTACCCATTTTAAGTATTGCACCACTGACACTCAGGGTCAACTTAGTAAAACGCCACTTAGCTCATGCAACATTCCCTACATCTAGTTTTATTTTGGTTTTTAATGTTGCAAATTTAAGGTTTTTAAGGTCTGCAAATTGGCCAACTTAACTTCACTTAAGACCATACAACAGACCATACAACAGCATTACACTTATTACACATATTTTGTTTTATTTGGGGGTGCATTCGCGCATTTAATACACAGACTGCCTACTCTATATCATCTTTGAATTAATATAAAGGTGGCACAACTGCAATATTCTGTGATTTGGAACGTTTGTAGAGTCTGAGAAAAAATCCCTCTTCGAATAAAATGAAAGCAAAAAAGAGAGTTAGAAGTCTCAATTTTACTAGGGAAGAAATAAACGTTCTTTGCGTTGCGGATCATTCGTGGCTAATTCATTCACAAATTTATAACACTTTCTCTAGTTAGACGGAATCTTTTTACAAAAGATGGGTTTTCAAAACTATCTATATGTATAATTATTTCGTTCATAAATTTGTCGTGGAAATTTATGATTAATAATCGGCCTCCAACCCTCTTTCCAATCTTCTTACATGATTGTCGATTTCAATATACATTTTTGTTATTTATTATTACAGGTTATATTTTGTATTCAAGATAAATAGCTTTGTGCCGTAGGTGCCTTTTTAAAAAATATTTTACAATTTATTTTACAAGTCAAAATTTGGTGTTGCAAAAATGAGAACAGATTCTAAACTAAAGGTTTTACTAGAAAAAAAATTATCATTTGCTGAAAGAAAGATAAAATTACGGCAAACCATGGAATATGCAATTCAGCTCGATCAGGTGTGTAAGGTGAGCTGAATTGGCGGAATTAGTCGGAGAGATACACTATAACTTTCATTGGTTTTGTATTGGGTGTGATTTTATTGATGACCAAATTAATGCGGTTTTTATTATCAAATAAATTAGATTGTTCTCAAAGTGATAGATCTGTCACCAACTTATTGACATCAAATTATTTCAAAACGATTATCTGTAAATTTATATACAATCACCAGAAAACGTAATTAGTTCGCTAATAATTAGTTTTATTATCAGAATAGAAGATCCGTCACCAACCTATTAACATAAAATTATTTCAAAACGATTATCTATAAATTTATATATGTACAATCACCCGAAAACGTAAAAAGTTTATTCTTTTATGCAAAACATTTTTGAGAGTGTGTGTATAAATATACAGTGCATTTCTTTAATGTCCCCCCCCCTTTTATTTTTTGAACGGATCAACTTAGAAAATTAGGCGACTGGGCGCCATCTTGGAAAATAAATTTAAATGGAAAGGGGGGTCTTGTGATACATCATTTTGAAGCTCCTGACAAATACTCTAGAACCCTGAAATATAAAGTCAATATCTGCACCTGCTACAAAATGGCGGAACATTTAATAATTACCTGAATAAATCGACGTTTAACGTTATAATTTGAGGAAATAAGCTGAGTTCTGTTCAAAAAAAGCTCGAAATGGTTGCCTTGAACTTCTTGATACAAGAACAGCCTATCCGAACATTTTCGAACATAGTAACGTCGATATTTTTACAAATATCTGTAATTATTTCTCGTATATCCAATATTGAAGCAGGTTTAGTTTCGTACACATTTTGCTTCAATTAGCCCCATAGAAAAAAGTCTAAAGGTGTCAAATCTGGTCAAATTCTGGTCAAATCCATTCCGTAGGACCTCGACGACCAATCCAACGATCCAACGACCAGGGAAAATAGCATCCAAATAGTTCATTACTTGTCTGGAGTAATGTGGTGGTGGTCCATCTTCCAATGGACGAGAATTGGCCATTTTAGAGTTAGTTGACGTGCTACCTAACTGCAATGAGAACTAAACAACCGAAAACTAAATGAAAATACTTTGAACACTAGGAAAATCGAAAACTAAAGAGAATATTTTGAACACTAGGAAAACCAAAAACTAAATGAGCATATTTTGACTAAACAATTAATGTTCGTTGTCGTACTTAAATTTTTTGGAATTTTTTTTAACCAAAAATAACCTGTCAAACCTTATCGGTTTGCTGGGATTGCTGTTTGCCATAGAAAAACAAATATTTCTAGAAAAATTGATATTATTTTGTTTGTATTCAGGTAATTATTAAATGTTCCGCCATTTTGTAGCAGGTGCAGATATTGACTTTATATTTCAGGGTTGTAGAGTATTTGTCAGGAGCTTCAAAATGATGTATTTTTTAGAATGTTTCGTGACTCCGTAACTAGTGTAGACGCCATTATTGTGTATAACCTAAGTTGGTGAGTTTTTATATTTTTTATTTCTAATTGTGTTTGCTTATTTAAAATGTCAACCTCAATGCGAAGAAAGGATCATAAATGTGCAACACCAAGGTGCAATAGCTTGTTTTTTTACTTCTTCGGATAAAAATCTTCAAAAGCATTTTTTTAAATTTCCTTCTGATATTGTGCGGAAAAGAAGGTGGTTCGATATTTTAGGTTTGTCCCATACATCCAAACAGCTGATACTTTGTGAAGTACATTTTCATGATAATAGTTTCACTAGCTCTTTGAAATCACGTCTAAATAAATTTGCTTTTCCTTTAGCACCCGAAACACCTTTCTCACTCTTCGCTATTTTCCCTGAATTCGATGCTGCTGATATTTTTTTTTGTTTTAGATTACATGCAATATAAGAAGCTGTAGGCCCTGAGAGCTGAAGATCCGACCAACTGTCTTGTTGTACAATTAGATTTTTTAATAACCACAATTTTACTAAAACAATTTTATTTAAATTTAGTGTATCCTTTCGTAACTTCTTAATTTTTAATAAAATTTTACATGAAACACTTTATATTATTTTTTAATTGTATTTTAAATATTTCAATTTGTTAATTGTGTATGCATTTGATAGCCGTTTTTCATGCTTGAGAAACGGCTATTAAATGACTACACAATTGTCAAATGTAAGAAAATAGAGTAGAATTACAAAAATTAATTTTAAATTTTCCGCCAATTTTTGTTTTAAATATACAGTGCATTTCTTTAATGTCCCCCCCCCCCTTTTATTTTTTGAACGGATCAACTTAGAAAATTGAAATTTGGGATAATGAAACTAATGCATAATTACTATATTTTGGAGTAAAATTGACAGATGAAAATTTCAAGATGGCGACTGGACGCCATCTTGGGAAATAAATTTAAATGGAAAGGGGTGTCTTGTGATACATCATTTTGAAGCTCCTGACAAATACTCTACAACCCTGGAATATAAAGTCAATATCTGCACCCATTACAAAATGGCGGAACATTTAATAAATACCTGAATACAAACAAATTAATATCATTTTTTCTAGAATTATTTGTTTTTTTATGCCAAATAGCAATCCCAACAAACCGATAAGGTTTGACAGGTTATTTTTGGTTAAAAAATTCCAAAAAATTTAAGTACGACAACGAACATTAATTGTTTAGTCAAAATATGCTCATTTAGTTTTTGGTTTTCCTAGTGTTCAAAATATTCTCTTTAGTTTTCGATTTTCCTAGTGTTCAAAGTATTTTCATTTAGTTTTCGGTTGTTTAGTTCTCATTGCAGTTAGGTAGCACGTCAACTAACTCTAAAATGGCCAATTCTCGTCCATTGGAAGATGGAGCACCACCACATTACTCCAGACAAGTAATGAACTATTTGGATGCTATTTTCCCTGGTCGTTGGATCGTTGGATTGGTCGTCGAGGTCCTAAGGAATGGATTTGACCAGAATTTGACCAGATTTGACACCTTTAGACTTTTTTTTATGGGGCTATTTGAAGCAAAATGTGTACGAAACTAAACCTGCTTCAATATTGGATATACGAGAAATAATTACAGATATTTGTAAAAATATCGACGTTACTATGTTCGAAAATGTTCGAATAGGCTGTTCTTGTATCAAGAAGTTCAAGGCAACCATTTCGAGCTTTTTTTGAACAGAACTCAGCTTATTTCCTCAAATTATGACGTTAAACGTCGATTTATTCAGGTAATTATTAAATTTCCGCCATTTTGTAGCAGGTGCAGATATTGACTTTATATTCCAGGGTTGTAGAGTATTTGTCAGGAGCTTCAAAATGATGTATCACAAGACCCCCCTTTCCATTTAAATTTATTTTCCAAGATGGCACCCAGTCGCCATCTTGAAATTTTCGTCTGTCAATTTTACTCCAAAATATAGTAATCATGCATTAGTTTCATTATCCCAAATTTCAATTTTCTAAGTTGATCCGTTCAAAAAATAAAAGGGGGGGGGGGACATTAAAGAAATGCACTGTAGAAGGAATCTACACTTAGTTCGCGAAAAATGTTGCTATCCGATGAGAGGCAGCACCGTCAACGTTATGCCAATTTTTAGTAAAGGGTCGAACTCTCTCATCTTTCTTTCTCTATGCATAAAAGCACGTGAACGATGTGGTTACTTTGACATTTAACGCTTGACGTTAGAAAAGTGTTTTATGCTCAAGCTCAGCCATGATACACCAAAATAAACTACAGTGCTGCTTTGGCGACGGGTCTCGTAACTAAAACTTAAAATTCGTGGGGATTTTGTGGGGAGTGTACGTGTTATGTATATAACCTATATTCTTTCGGTGTGACTCGGTCACACATTATTGTTCGATTTAACCCGCAATACGACATCTTGAGACACTACTCATCAAACATAAAATGGTCCTTTGAAGCCCAATTGAATGGAATTGAACGGTGAAAATTCACCATAAAGCGACACATAGCCTACAACAAAAAACGTGTTCATGACAAGAAAAGCAAAACCAATGGCATCGCCTGAGATGTCAGCCTTATTTCCACCATCAACGCGTGTAAAATTCCCTTCTGCTAAAAAGTTAACCTTAATTCACGGTCGGCACTTCGTGAAGCTCAAGAAACTGGACAGTCAAGGATTTGAATAGTACATCATTGCTACAAAGGGTGAGAGCTTTTCAATACACTTTCCATTTATCTGTACGCTATTAAAATTCACATTATCGTTTTAATTCTAGTGCGTTATTACAAAAAAATAAAATGGATAGTGTAACCGATTTACTTTCGGACGAACTTGATGTAGGTGCCAGACTCAAATTGTTTACTAAAAAGAGGGGGCATATATGATCCCCTTTGAAACTTTAAAAAAATACGTGCTAAGCATATCTGAAACACTAAAATCCAAATATGAACTAGACCAAACAACATTTTTCGAGCTAGAGAAACGATGGTTAGGGGCTGAAAATGTAGTGACTCTAATTTGGACCCCTGGACATCAGGGAATAGAAGGCAATGAGGTAGTTGATAATCTAGCCGAAGAGTGGACCAATGAGCAACATGGAAGGCAGTTGGAGTGCCCTGTGCATAGGGTAAACAATAAGTAAATAAACTCCTAGAAGGAGAACAATTTTTTTTATTTATATCTTATATTCATGTTGGCAAATGTGATTTGGCTCGTTTTGTGCTAAAACTGCATAGTGTCTCATAAATTAATACTTTTTTTAACTGCCTACAAATCTTTTAATTCTAAGCAACTTTTTCAAGTAAAATTTTTTAATACTCTGGAAAATAATACAGCATGTTTTTTTAATTTTTAATTATTTAAAAAGTATTTAATGCGGCCCTGTTTATTAAAAGTTAAGGAACTGCTTAAAATTGTCGCCATTTTGATTGGAAACGCTTTGGAAACACTCTCCATAAATAAAAAGCATGTCCACCAACAATCGAAAAATTAATTTTTTGTCATTAATTATTTACTATTTTTTTCACGCCTGTATAGTAATGGCGGGTACGTATTGGAAAATGTTCCAAATTTTCATTTGATTAATGTAGAAGGTATATAAGTAACTCGTAAAGCCCGGCAATCGAAAACATTTGCCGCACTTTTAGTAAATTGTTAATTAACAATCAATGTTTAAGAAAAATCACACATTTACAATAATCGAATATTTTACATTAAATTTTTATTTTTCAGTCACAATTTTAATAAAAAAATAATAACGACTAATTATAATAACTTACTTATTATATAATTGTAATAACTTACTTTTCCACGAAAAGGTACTAAAATTACAAAAAAAAATGATGAAAAATTCGATACGATTTCGACATCCTTTTCCTCGGTCAAAGTTTGAGATCAAATGTAATCAAAAATAAAACGAAAATAGACAAATTTTTAAACGCTCAATGTAGTTTACTTCGTGTTGTAAAAAATATTCCACGACGCCATCGCTAAGTTGGCGTAAACAAACCGTAGATTAAGAATGGCTTTCTAATGTCTTTATTCGCTCTGTGCGGTCGAATCATTCGGAATACCGGTGAACAAAATGGATACGCGAAATGCAAATCAACCGGGGTTATCGCCTTTTCCGTCGACCTTCACCCAAAAATTCCGTGCGATCCAATCTTTATTGAAAGATTATAGGAATAGCGATCAAACCAAAACGAAAATTTGCCGAGCAAAACAATAATAAACGAAGAAAGAAGGAAAACTAGTTTTAATAAGTAACAAAGCGAACCACTTACATACGACGAATTTCTCATAACACCTGTTAATTGCGTTTATTGTTTGAATTTTTCTTCCTTACCCATCTTATTTAACGAACTACCAAAAAATCTATTGAAAGTATTAACAAAAAACCGGAAAAACTGCTTCACAATGAACGGGTGTAGGTACAAAAATTAAAAAATTACAAATAAAAGAAATTAAAAAGTAACCGATCACGATATAATGATCTTATTCAGTCTTATTTACGGCACCCGGAGCTGTTTAATGCATCGCTGTTGCATTTCCTTTATTGGCAGAACATTTGCAATCCGATACCATCTTAATGATCGGTTACGGTCATCGCTTAAATTTATTTATTTTTTATTAATTAACTGTATCGGTATTTTTTATCTTCTCGTCTCTTGAACCATTACATACCGACCGTTTATTAAAACGAAAAACAAAATGGCGAACCAGATTGAATATTTTTGAGAATATAACAATCAAAGGTCCTCAGAAGGTGGTATAATTTATTTATTATCAGTATTATGCGGTAGTAGCTGCGTGTCATATAAGATTACCGAAATTACCGAAGAATTGATAGTTAAACTTGATACTGAAATTGTAACAGTAGTTTTGCTAAATTTCTCAATTTGGAAACTGTTACAAAACTGTAGTATTCTGTTCCATTTAGGCCGACCGCTCACGGAGCAACTTTTTTTAAACAAAAATTCATTGCTGATCTAGTTGATCTTGCAACTATTTTGCAACCTCGGCAATGTGCAGTAGTGTGGAGCCGCACACAAGTCGATTCAAATGAAACTATATAGTTTGCATATAACTATATAGCATACACATACTGTGTCACTGTCCAGCATTATCCTTGCGCAGGTATAAAACCTGGAGAAGGGCGTCTTTAGATCCTATCCATCTTAATAAAACAAGGGCATCGGAACTGCTGAAGTTCGCAAAACACTTGCGACCTCTGGCAGAATCAATGACCGTGAGAAAAGACCCGCCCGCACAATAACAACAATAACAACTTAGTTTGCAATGAATCATAATCCCGTTGTACTCGACCATTTAGTAGAATTTAAAAGGTCACAAAAGCCTTTTAAAATAGATTTTCGTTTGCACTTCATTGCTAAAATGTAAGAACCACTTTTTATCATTTCTTATGCCCTAAGAATGCAAAATTAACAGGTCGTCCAAAAATCGTACAGTGCAGAAGGTGGGAGTAGTGAATTTTTCAAAAAATAAAAAAAAAATATTTATATGATTTTTAAATACATACGGCCATTTAACTGGCAAAATGTGATGTCGATATTTCTATTGAAAATTTTGTGTGTCCCTAGATAAAGTTGACCAGATAAGAAAAATGGTTATTATTAATTTTACGACGAAAAGCCATTCTTTCTTTCTTTCTTGAAATTTTTTCTTAATTTAAACACCCTATACATCTTATCTAATGTTTGGTATGTAAACCCCATTTTCCCAAGAAAGTATTTTTTTTATAAAAAATTACTTTTGGTCGTAAAATTAATAATCATTTTCTCCTCTGGTCAACTCCATCCGTGGACACACAAAATTGAAATTTTAATTTGAAAATTTGTATTCAGGCTTTATTTTAAATTATAAACAACTTTCTTTTATAAAAATTTTGTGTAAAATAAAAAATAATAGTACTCTCTTGAGGTATTTTTATGTTTTCTTAATTTGACAACACCCTGTAGATCCAATCTAAGATTTTTTAGTGTCATTTTTAACAGAAGTAAAAAAATGTTTTTAAAAATGTAACTCATTTTTAAAAGAAGCAAAAATTTTTATAAACAATGACTTTTTGACGTAAAATGAATAATAATTTTTTTTTCCTATAGGCAACCCCATCCGTGGACACACTGTATATATATTTTTTTATTTTAATAATAGACCACGCAATGCTTTTATATGGAGTTTCTTTACGAATAAACGCTTGTCCTGAAAACTAATTTTTCTGTTTTCATTTACCTCGTTTTAAAATGAAATCAATTTGGTTTATCAAAAAAATACCTTTTATAAACTTTATGCACTGAAAATCAAAGCTTAGATTTGTGTTGGCGGTCAGGCGATAAACGACTGGAACGAGGTTCCAACGTGCGTTTAGGATCGTTTTCGCTTGCCGTTTCCTTTGCGCTGTGTTTATAAAATTTTTAGGGAATCTAAAAGCATGACTATAAAATAATATTATTATTTATTGGGATCGAAAACTGTTTAAAATACTTTTGTCGGCAATTTATATTTAATACATAATACTAAATAATACTTAATACTAAGTACAAAGGCAATCCTTACATAATTCTTAATACTAAAGACATAGTAGGTAAACAGATCGTTCGAGTTCATCCGCTGCAAGCATTAGAATTAGAATCTCAATCAAAACTATAAGATACTAAGGAAGATAGCGGGCGTGACTATTTCGTATGCTCTCTTTATTCCTTACATAACCAAAGTCCAATTAGCTGTCTCATTATTCTCATTGTATGCTTGCAGCAGTTGAGCTCGTACGATTTATATACATATACAGGGTTTTTCAAGGAAACTGTCCATTAGAAGTTATAGAAGCAGATCCTGAAGAGTTAGGAATCTGTAAATTTAGGAGTAATGGATAAAATCAATGTTGTGTTTTTCTAAAATATTTTCAATCATATGTGACTTCCGGTTATACCGGAAGAAGATGTCAACTTCGTTATTTTAAATGAAAAGTACCATTTTTGACTTCATTTTTGGATTCTGTCACTCTTTTTAAGAATCCGTTAATTAATTCATTTGCTTCATCATTTACTTATTAAATGAATAATATGCACTACAATTTATTAATTATATAAAATAGTTTATACCTGAATTCACTTTGCAAAGAAGTGGAAGGTTCAGTAACATCTAAATTAGAATGAGTATTCGGCACTCTAGAAAATAAGTTTAAAAATACATATATAGATTATTGGTTTATAAAAGAACAGAAGATATATTCAGGAATATAAACAATTATATTATGAAATTATTTATTTAGTAAAAAAATTACCTATTTTGGGGTTCGGGGTTTTACACAGATAATTCATCATTGGTTAAATAAGGAAGATCAGCCCGACGACATCTAAAATATTATAAATATTCTCTGACATTTCGCTTTAAAATGTGGCTAATAAAAAAATTAACATGCAATAAATATGTAGGTGAAATCAATTTTTGCCTTGAGAATGGACTCTTAACTAGACTTTGATAATAACGCCACATGCCAAAAATAACTTAGATTGTTATACAAAAACTTTTCCAATTATGCAATGCCAATATGATAGGTTTTAATCAGTAGGAAGATAAAATTACATAAATAACGCATCGCAAACAATTTGTTTAATAATCGCACAATTACGTATATAATGCGTAGTAAATTGCGACTGCACTATTAATATTAAATTATGAAATACATATTTTAACCGCCGAATGTATAGTTTATCTCATAAAAAAAGTCGCCGTTAATCTCGATGCCCGAGTGAATGAGACACCGTAAGCGTCCTTGCTATAAATTTGAATATCTTTTTTCTTTGCAATAGGTATCAACGGGGGTACATAAACGCTTTATCAATAATCGAGTCACTCCTTTTTCGGACAAAAAGGCTTCATTGTTTCAAAATAATGTATTCCAATTCGAATTGTTGAAGCATCAATGAATAAAAAATTAGACAAAGAACGAATATATACTCCATTTATAATTAATTTAATCGTAAATTTGCCTAACCGTATAACCTTTTGCTTTAAAGCAACTGCAGGATCCTCGAAGCAAAACCTCCCTTCCTTCACTTCTTTCTGTACGTATATCTTCAAGCAATTCCTTCATTTTTTGAAGGCAAAAGGTTATGCTTCTTTTTATAAATACGGCCTATATTATTGCAAAAAACGGAAAAAAATTTTAACTTCAACACCCTGTATCATAGTAGTCGATAACCTTTGACCCAGATTTATTTAGTAAAATGTGAATATTTAGAGGTTCTGAATCTATGATTAAAATATTGACCATTCCTTATGAAATACCCTTTATATCTAGGTTACTGAATTACTTTTAGTCTATACATATTGTCGAAAAATACATTGTTTGCAAAAAAACTCCTACCCCAATGAATTTTTCAGGGATGGTAGGGGGCGGGTGGTTGATCATGAAACCGAAGATATCACACATGAACCCCTCTGGCATTTTTCGCTATAGGGGTTGAAAGTGAGCCATTGGCGATTACTTGGTACCTATTGATTTTACAAAAAATATTTCAAATAAAAAATGTGCAACATTATGCAATCTACAATTTTTATTTAAAGATTTTTTGATTAAGGTCCATATGTGGCCATAAGGGCCTGGAATGGAAGCGGATGCGGTTTTTATAAAATGATGAAAGTACGAACAAAGAAAACAAGCAAGGAACAAATGGAGGTGATAGTTAAAAAATATTTAAAAAAATCTAGAAAAACATGAGTAATTATTTTTGATTATACATTTCTGAACTAGTGCAACTTGTAGATAAAAAGGTGTTGTATCTCTTCGGAATGGTTCTTCTAGAACTTATGACAACTGTTGAATTAAATTTTAAGTTGTAGCTTTTGTTATAAACTATTTGACACAGTTTTAACGGGTCGTAATTTAGAAATAAAAATAAAAAATTCTCTCAGCAAAAACAACCTCCTTCTTCTTTTATTGACAACTGACTTATGACTTCTACCACTACAAAAACAAAAACTAAAAACTCTTACCAACTACTATAATGAAATTTCACCATTGCAATTTTCAATACCCCTCTCAATGGTAAACTTTTAAACATTTTTTTTTAAATTATTTTAGACCTAGTCTAGAACAAAATATTTTAAATTTGCCCCCCTCCAAAGGCTTTGTGAATACATCTGCTAACTGCAGACTGGTTGGCACGAACACAATATTCACAGATCCCTCTCTTATTTTATCCCTAATAAAGTGAAACTTTAGGTCCACATGTTTCAATCGCTTATGAAATTCTGGGTTGCTGCACACCTTCATAGTAGACTGATTATCCTCATAAATAGTAACACAAATGTTTTCGTTCGACAACCCAAAGTCACTAAGCATATGTCTTATCCAACAAGCCTCGCTAAGTGCACAACTTAAAGCAACGTATTTCGCCTCGGTGGGAGACAAGGCCACAGTTGGTTGCTTCCTAAAAGCCCATGTAATAGTACATCCGTAAATTCTAAAAATATATCCCGACGTGGACTTTCTATTAACCGTGTCTCCAGCCCAGTCAGAATCCACATATCCCTCCCCTAGGACATCATTATTAGCTTCGAATATTAAACTAACATTCAAAGTGCCCTTTACAAAGCGCAAAACTCTCTTCAATGCTTTAAATAAATCGTAACTAGAACAAGACTGATACCTGCTCAAAATACTAACTGATATACATAAATCTGGTCTCGTACATAGCATTGCGTACATAAGATTACCTATCAATTTTCGACACTTCTTCTCAATCTCGATATACTCAGATTTCTATCTCTTAAAATTACCATGGTCAACATTTACATCCATAGGTGTATCACATGGTTTACAATCAGACATATTATGACTAGCTAACACATTTTTTAAATAAGCTGTTTGATGAATTGACATAACACCCTCAGATTCATTTTGATTAATTTCCATGCCTAAGAAATGCCTAACATTTCCCAGATTTTTCATTTTAAAATTCTTATTTAACAAATGTATTACATTTTCTACTTGATCAGCATTAGTTCCAGATATTAACACATCATCTACATATACAGATTGTTAACTTTAGCGCGAAGCAAAAATTGAGAGAGACGGTGTAATGGAGCATATGTCTAAGAATGAGAGAATATTAGAAGCAGCCACTCCCGACGTAGCGACTGGAAGGGAGGCTCGACCGATACGCGATTGAAACAAACGATTTTTAAGTCTGTTTTTGTTTCGATAATGAATTTCGTATTGGTTATCCCGTACCGAGATTGCTCCGCGTTAGATCTAACACTGTATAAGACAAAAAATCATATACCCAGAACCCGTTCCAATATATAAACAATATTCAAATTCTGAACGTCTAAATGATAAGTTTAACATAACATCATTACATTTTTCGTACCAATTTCTTGGAGAATTCTTTAGCCCGTATAAGGATTTTCTCAACCTGCAAATTTTACCCTCATTCTCACCGAAACCCTTCGGAAGAGAAATATAAGTCTCATCTTTTATTTCGCCATACAAAAATGCACTACATACATCGAACTGAGTTACTTTAAATTTCAACTTATTACAAATGGCTAAGAATATCCTTACTGAAGGCAATTTTGCTACCGGACTATAGCTATCAAACAATGACATATTTTTTCACTAGATTTTCATTAGTAGCAACGACGTTATCTATTTGCATTAAATCTTTGTTATCGCTTTTTTCAGGTAGAAACACAACGTCTCTTTGAACTTCGACTCTATTCTGATCGGGAAAAAATAATCTGTACCCCTTTATATCTAGATCATAGTCCACAAAAAAAACTAATTTGAAATTAGTTTTCAAAAGGCATAAAAATCATTTAAAATTAACAATAAAACAATTTAACAAAAGAGATTTTAAATAATAAATGGGCAATGGCATTTTAAATATACCGAGCGGCCAATTTCGAGCGCTGCAATCTATAGAAAGAGAGAATCAGTCGAAATGAGGAGAGGCGTGGCTTTGGCACGATGAATCGGCGGACGAATGCAGGGTTCCAAGCTGACCGCTCGGTATAATATGCAAATAATACATACGGAAGTTATAGAAAAAATGGTGATACCGTGATTTACTATGATTTTTTAATTTTATAATAAAATGGCGGTGGAGTTTAAGCGCGTCCGCCAAAATGTAAAAAATTTGTAGTATATTCATTAATTTTGGTGGTAAAAAATAAAGCAATGGAAACTGTTCGAGATTATCCATAGACCTACTAACTATGGACGCAGTGTTGACAATGAGGTAGTGTTATCTATGAATGAGAGAGATGCTGCTAGTTTGGGCATATGGCAATGAGAGATTGGACAATGTAGTAGTCACGAGATAAGTTCGAAAGCCAAAGCAAAAAAAAAAAAAAACAAAATCTAAAATTATTTCAAAATCGAATATTGAATCAAGAGTGCTTCCAGTACCTATGGATCATCGGTTATTTACTACAACTATTCAATTATAAACCTTAAATATCCCTCTCTTAGCTTACTACATAACATGTATCTCGTCCGATGGAGTAACAAGACAGGCTGTAGGGTATCCAAACAGTTCATGGAAACACCTTCACAAGAAAGGGCAACCGAGCTCTGGGCTATGGACCGTGACAAGCTGAACAAAGCACTTGGACTACTCACAGGACACGTAGCATTCAGAGCACACCTATACCGACACAAAATAAAACATGCTCACTATGTGGGGAGGCTGATGACGATAGCATACACATACTGTGTCACTGTCCAGCATTATCCTTGCGAAAGTACAAAACCTGGGGAAGGACGTTTTTAGATCCTACCGATCTCAATAAAACAAGGGCATCAGAGCTGCTGAAGTTAGAAAATACTTGCGACCTCTGGCAGAATCAGTGACCTTGGGAAACTGCAGAGGATCATTAGATCTAGGTGGCCACAGTGCTAAAAAGACCCGCCCGCATAACAACGACAACAACAACATAATATGTACCCTTAAATGACCCTTAGTCGACTTTTACATTAAATTTTTCTCCAAACTAGATATTTTGTGATATATTCTCTTTATGTCTTATCAACTTTTTTCGCGCTTTTGTAAACTCATTCCCCACCTTTCTCTCTCTATCTTCACTCATCTTTCCTTCTACCTCTCTACATTCTCTTCTGTATCACTAGTTCAAAATACATACTTGTTTTGCAACTGAAGACTTCATTCTAACTTCATAATCTTCCCAATTATCCCCTTCATACTTTCTGGTAATGTGAACCGTCAGTACCCTACTACGATACCTTCTTCCAGATTTTCCTCCCCTCTAATTACAACTTACTCTCATAATCTGACCCTGACAGACGCTCAAGATTATTGAGCAGTCGGCCCTCCAGAGGCTCAAGAGGGCGATGGTTTGGGTACCAGCGCCGATCGAGACGCCTCCCCAGGAGGTCCTTAGGAGGATCCGGACTGGCAATCCGGCCCTTAGGACTGAAGGGTGGGTGATTCGGGCCTCCCAGTGGGATGCTGCTTCGTTGAGGCAGAGCATCGTACTGGGGCTCGATCCTCGGTCGGTTGAGGTGCTCGAACGCACGAAGGGGGAAATCCGGTATGGGCTCGGGAAGATAAAAATTATCTTCTCGGGAACTACGGAGACTACCCCGGAGTAAATGGGTAAAGGAGGTACCTCTTTCAGACTCTTGATGTCTGCTTGCAGGGACCTTAAATTTACGCAGATAAATCTGCAACATTGCCGGGCCGCCGCGGGAGTAATCGCGCAGCGGATGGCAGGGTTGCAGACAGGCATATGCCTCATACAAGAGCCATGGGTGTATAGAGGTCATGTGCGAGGTCTGGGCACACCCGGGCGTAGTTTATTCTACGCTGTGGGTGAACCTAATCCGAGAGTGTGTATTTCTACACATAATAGTGTAAATACAACACTGATAAGGGAACTCTGTTTCAGGGATCTTGTTGCGGTGAAGGTGGATTTACCGGATGAGAATAGCACGAGATGTACCTTGGTCGTATGCTTTGCTTACTTGCCCTACGATTCACCAGGATTACCGCCTACTGAGGAGCTTCGCAAGACGGTGGACTACTGCACGGCTAGGAAGTTGCCTCTCCTTATCGGCTGTGATGCCAATGCGCACCACACTATGTGGGGCAGCACAGGCGTTAACAGCAGAGGAGAGGCCTTGCTTGACTACCTGGGCACCACCGATCTTCAGCTACTTAACCGAGGGACGAAGCCGACTTTCCGCAATAGGATTCGGACTGAAGTCCTAGACGTGACGCTTGCGTCCAGTGCCATAGTGAGTATGGTAAAAGACTGGCATGTTAATGATGATCCGTCCTTATCGGATCACAGTTACATCTGTTTCAGATATAATGCTGCTGCTGAAAAACAGGCAGTGAAGTATAGGAACCCTAGGGCCACCAATTGGGAACGGTATAAACTGGATCTCGAGGGGAGGCTCCAGCGGTTCCCTAGGAGCCTCAGAAATAACGA